CCAGAAAAGGAGGTTAAAAGAGATGGGGAGCGAGTCTGGGTTGGGGAGGGGGGGAAAAGTGGGATTGAGAAAAGGAAGAGACGTTGGGTGTGGGGTAGGTCTGGAATAGTGAATAGCAAAACAGGGGGAGGCGTTGGATAGGGGAAGGAGGCCCGCTAGAAAAGAAGGGAAGCTGCCTGAGGGGGGGTGAGCCAGAGAGAACTCTTAGTGCCCACAGTAAGTACGATAGTGCTTATCCAGAAGGATAGAAGCAGCCTTTCTTCTTGTCCTCCAATCTAAAACAAGTATTTCCTGCTGCCCATTGTGCCAAATCAGTAACAAGGTCATGCATTACATATCGTGAATTGTTTTCACTTGCCTTTTGAAATAATGACCTACATAATAGCTCTTGAAAATAGTCGTGCCCTAAATCCTCCATTTGTCTATTGGCTTCTGGTGGTTGTTGAATCAAACCCTCTGCCATCCATAAAAGGATCAATTGCTTCTCCCCAAATTCATAGTCATTTGGAAATATTGAGCAATAGGCAAAACACCTCTTCAAGTTGGAAGGAAGGTGGTGATAGCTCAACTTTAATACCCGAAGAATATTGTCACTCTCACCTGATAAATTCCACAATTTGTCGTTCAATATTCCTTCCCATTCGTTTATTTCTTTCAGACGTAAAAGCCCACCAAGAGTTCTTGCAGCTAAGGGCAATCCTCTGCATTTTTCAGCAATTTTTTTCTGAAGCAACTCAAAATTTGGTGGTCTATCATTGTTAACAAATGCATGCTGCTCAAATATTTCCAAACAATTATCATCTGACATAGGCTCCAAGTTATGAATTTCGGTGGCTCTCATAATCTCTGCAACATTTTGGTCACGTGTTGTCACAATTATCTTACTTCCTTGTGCTCCAACACTAAAAGGGGATTGAAGTCTTGTCCACAGATCATCTAAATCACGGTCACCTTTGTTCCAAATATCATCTAAAACAATTAAAAACTTTTTACCTCTTAACTGCTCATTCAAATCATGCTGCATTTTACTGAACTCCTCTACTTCAACGCGTTTAGATGTGACTGATTCAAGAATTGCCTTCGTCAATCTTACAACGTCGAAGTCATCGGACACAGACACCCACACCCTCGGCTCGAACTCCTTCATGACATCACTGTTGTTGTTGAATGCAAATTGAGCAAGTGTAGTCTTCCCAAGGCCAGCCATGCCAACAATGGCAACAACATGAAAGTTGACATTATCTCTCGACAACATGTCTAATATTTTTGCTTTATCTCCATCTCTTCCAACAACGGTTAGTCCACCCAACACGCCCGAAGTTGGTGGCCTTGACCATGCTTGACTAGACGCCCCAGTGTCCTTTAAACCAAACTTATCTTTCCGTTCAGAGATCTCTTGCAACCGCTCTGTAATCTTCTTTATTTCAGAGTTCATATCGAAATTGAGTTTCAGTTTAGAGAATGAACTCCGCACCTTTTTACTTGTGCTGGCTTGATCACGTCCCTCTATCTGGCGCTTCAATCTTTTAGTAGCAAATTTGTCCAGCACGTCTTCTACATCATAAGCCAAGTCTCTGAGGTCACCCAGCCACAATTTCAGTTCCACACCATGCCCTGTCAGTTGCTTGTCCTCCGCATCATTCAGCACCGCTACGATTGCAGACAAATTGTCACTCCATTTCTTCAGCTTTTTGTCGACGCCCTTTACGAGACCAAAGTTGAGGATCTCGCGAGGCGCCAACCTGTCGAGCAGCAACTGAAGGAACGCCCCAAGAAAAATCTCTCCCACTGCCATACTTGTTGATAATTAAGTGTGAAGAGACACACACAAGAAGCCAAAGAAGTTTTCTTCAACAATATGAACACGCACAACTGCACAAATTACGTGAAAAAAAAAATACTAGTTTTAGCTGGGGGAACAAGAATAACGCAGGCAGCCAAATGTAAAACAGAATGAAATAATTTCAGTTCAGAATAAGCACTTACATGGAAATTTTGAGATCTGATTTTGCTTGAGATCCTTAAATCCGGACTGAACAAATTAAGATGCACAACTGCAGAAATTAAGTGAAAAATTAGTTTTACTTAGAATGTGTAAGTCTCATTGATGAATGTGTGTATGGCATATAAAAACATAAATATAAAAGATTGAAATAATTATTATGCTTGCAAGAAGCACTTACATGGAAGTTCAAATCTGATTCTGCTTGTGAGCAACAAATCTGGACTGAAGAAGTAGAACAACAGAGCTTGAGTCTTCCTATAGTTTTGTTCCACTCTACTTTTGGTGGGTCGTTTTGTTTTTGTTTGTTCTCTTCTATTTCTATCGAAGTGACTTTTTGGTTGATATTTTTCATTTTCTTTTCTGCTTGTATTGTATCAAGCAGAAAAGTCACTCTGATCGAAATAGAACAGAACAGAACCAAAAGTAAAGTGGAACAGAATATAGGAAGACTCCAGCTCAGCTCCACTTCTTTTCTGCTTCCATTTGTTGCTCACAAGCAGAATCAGATTTATTACATCATTAACGTTGAGATTAACGTTGTTTTATTATATCATTTTGATCAATTTGAAGATTACGAACAAGATTTTCATGACGATAAAAGATTTTTATTAGCTTGGAATTACCGACTAAGGGTCGATTAGAGCTTAAATGACTACAAGCTAAAAATGCTTTTAACTGCACTTGACAAAAACATTACGCTTATAACAAAATTTCTTATATATGAACAAAATGAGTCAAAATAATTATTATAAAAAACAGTACCAAATGAGACAATAGTGTGAAAAAAGAATGAAATAGTATATATTTCAGTCCCCTCTATTGAGAGATCACTCAAATAAATTTATATATATTTATAATTCTGGTTTGCTTCTGGATCAAAGATAAAAACCTAAAAAGATTCCTTTAACTGCTGCCACCAGCACGTTATATAGAAAAGTAGAAGCTGATAATTGAGTTTTGAATCAATCGTGTGTTGCTTGTATAAAAAAAAAAATAATAACAAAAAAATAACAATATGTAACTAAGCCTGACCCAAATAATAACTTTGGCAGTGGCTTGGGGCCTTTATATTGCCTTGCCACCGTAACCGTTGATGACAGCAAGCCTTTTTTTATTTAATAAAAATCATAAATCAGTTTTGAAAAAAAGAATAAAAAATTCTTCAAAGTTTCTATTGTTGTATCTTTACGAAATAGATGAAGAAAACAGGAAGTCTGAGCAGATAACTACATTCGCTCTTTCTTTGATTAAAAAAAATAACAATAATTACATTGCGCAAAACAAATAAAATACAAGAAACTAAAAGAAACAAAAAACAAAAGGCACCAAACAGAATAAATCAAAAGTACCTGCAGTTTAAGTATCAACAGCAGATTTCTTCACGAATTACCAAATACCGAAGGTGTCACAGTGAACAAGAAGGAAAATTCAAAGGCAATACACAATTACACACTTTTAGAACAAAAGAGATCAAGAGAGCCAGAACCAAGACATAATATATATGAAGATGGATGAGTGTAGAAGCTGATAATTGAGTTTTGAATCAATAGAGAGTGTCTAGTCTATTCTAATGGCCCAGCTCCAGCTCATGCCGCGTCCTTCTGTCAGATTATGTTTGATTAAGAGACATGAGGAAAAGAGAAACAAAAAAAAAACAAAAAAAAAAAAACAACCTCCTTTAGCCCTCGTTTAATTCCCTTGTAATTTTTTGTTTCTTTGTTTGGGCTTCAGCCCTCCTTAGCACCCAAAAAAAAAAGGAAAACACGCAATGCAAATTCCCCAAGACTTTTTATCCTGCCGACACCAAAGTTACAGAAATTACTGTGTTTGATTTTTGGATTCCTTTAACTGCTGCCACCAGCACGTTACATAGAAAAAGTAGAGAGCTTTTTTTCTTTTTCTGTCAAAAGGCAAAGTGAAGCTGGTAATTGAGTTTTGAATAGTGTGTCGGGCTCCAGCTCATGCTGCGTCCTTTGTCTGATTATGTTTGATTCTGACATGGACTTTTTTAAACTCACTCCCATTACACTTGCTTTTGTCCAACCCCGTTATGAATTCACCAATAAAATTTATTGCTGAATATATGAACCCTTTCTTTGGACGACGAACATAAGTAAATCAAACTAAAATAATTTTTTAACTTTTTTTTTAATACAAAAGTTCTAACTATTGTGCAAGTTCAAGCAACTGTAACATAGAAAAGTAGAAGCTGATAATTGAGTTTTGACTCAATAGTTTGTCTAGTCTATTCTAATGGCCCAGCTCCAGCTCATGCTACGTCCTTTCTGTCTGATTTTGTTTGATCCTGAAATGATGTTTTTTACTCTCATTCACATCACACTTGCTCTTGTCCAGCCACATATAATTATGATTAATTTCACCAATAAATTTTGATGAGGTTGGTCTCATTCTCATCTCACTCATGGAAGTTCCTTTTTTTTTTTGGTCAAGCTCACTCATGGAAGTTCAAACCGGCCCTATGAGCCAAGTGCATGAATTTCCTAATAATTAATATCATTTTAGTCCACCAACCAAGTCTCCTCCAAAGCACGTATGGAGAACACAAATAAGTAACAACAGATAAATAGATGCTTTGTTATATATATGGTGCCTCCAGTGTTAATATTAGTAGCCTTTTGGTGTCAATACGACTGATTACAATTTCTGGGTACGGACATAGCATAAAACATGCCCTATTTTATGGTTTAAAGCATGACGGTTGCAGTTGAAGTAGAACTAAGATAAATACATCGATGGCTATAAATTCACCCTTGATTAGTTTAGATATTTATGATAAAGTGATATTCTAAATTAACCAAATGTAAATATTTGAGTGCAAGGGAATAATGATCGAACTTGGGTGCCAGGCTAAACTAACCTTAGCAGACCCAAATAACAACTTTGCCAACAATGGCTATAAATTCCCTTACAATGGCTATAAATTCACATTCGGTTAGTTTCAGATATTTATGACAAAGTGATATTCATGAGATAAATACATCAAGTGCTATAAATTCATCATTCCCTTACATTTGGTTAGTTTAGATATTATGACCCATTTGGAAATTAGGAGCAATATTTTCATGAGGGCTTGTGGTTCACGGCTGCTTTCAACGGCGTCTGTTTCATCACACGTACAGTGTGGAATACGGCGGCACGATTGTTCAA